TATAAGCATAATATATATTAAGTTATACATAATCTTACTAAAATATATTTACATATTTAAGACAATAACTAATCTAAATGCAATAATAATCAAAGTTTTAGTATATTTAGAAGAAAAATATTATAGGTGAATTCAGAAAAAATAAATGCAATCTAAAAACACAAGTATAACCAAATCGACTATTGACTAAAAAAAGCAACCAAACCGATTAAATATAACATCTCCCAAATCATATGTCTAATTAAAATAATATAATATTATTAATATAAGTTATACATATAAATTATAAATTAATTTATAATTAAAAGTAAACTTCTATCTAAATTAATAAATTAGAATATATTACAATATCTTTACTTTATAAATATTCATACCCGTGCATGAGCACGGGAAAATCACCTAGTGACCAAAATAAACTTAAAAGTTTTATCAAAAATAAGTAAATAAACACTTAACCCTTTGGATTAACTAATCTTAGACTTTCTTCGTTTAGATTTTAGGAGTGGGGTTTTTAGGGTATGATTTTAAGTTTTTTTTTACAAAAAATTAAAAAAAATATATAGATATATATTTTTGGTTATTTTAGTTTTTGAGGTCTATTTTTGTGATAAAAACTTAAAAATGTCTATTTGAGAGATTTGTCCTTTTTATTATTACGAATATATATATATATGTATGTGTGTGTGTGTGTGTGTGTGTATTTTAAAGTGTTATACAACAATATTAAAAATTAATGGTATTTTATAAAACACTTTTAACTTTATTAATTTTATATTATTAATAGTTTGTTAGTTTAGAATTTATTTTTCTAATTTGTTGTGATATTTATATTTTTACCCCATTTACTGTAGCACAATCCATGTTTTCCTAATAATTAATATATTAGACCCTGTAAACTAAGTTGGTAGAAGAAAAACATATTAAAAAGATGATAATTTAAGAAAAATGAGAAATTATATAAGCAAATTAGATTTTTTTTGTTTGGTTTAATTGATCTTGAATGGTTTGGTTAAGAGTAAATCGATCAAAACCATCTGTTTATGTGTAATTAAATTTTAAACTAATAATTAATTCGTAGATAAATAAGTTTGTAATTTAGTTGTTAGCTTATGTTGTTTTTAGATCTGACGATGTTATACTTATGTTATTATAGTGTTGATTTCTTGATTGCGTTTTTTTTTTTAGTATGATTTGGTAAACTTATATATTGTTGGAAAAATTACTACATCCTCGTAAAATGTCTTCAAAACTAAACCATTTCGTAAATTTAACAGTTTAGGCAAAAGTTTCAGAACTTTTGAACTTAAGTTAATACCTAGACTCAAACTACAAGGACATATAGTCTTTGCACGCTCGATCTATTTTGTCCATATGTACTTCTTTATAAATAAAGTAGAACTAGGTGATTTTCCCGTGCTCATGCACGGGTATAAATATTTTTAAATTAAATATATAATAATAATTGATTATTATTTACTTTTAATTTTAAATTAATTTATAATTTTATGCATCATTTATATTAATAGTATTATATTACTTTACTTATACTGTAATTTTATATATGTTATATCTAGTCAATTTTGTTGTTTTACGGTTGGTTTAGTTATCATTTGGATAAATTAGATTGTATCTCTGAATTCGCTGTAATATTTTTAAAATATATTAATTTTTAATTAGTTACTTATTTGCATATGATGGGTGTTGTCTTAGATATGTAAATATATTTTAGGAAAATTATGTATAACTTAAGATATATTGTGCTTAGAATGAATTAAAAATTAACTAAAGTGTCTGATTCCAAATTACGTAAATTAATATAACAAAATATTCTAAAGTCTCATGGATATATATAAATTTTACAAAAGAACTAAAATTGTAAGAGTTGGTTAGTATTTATTTTTATTTTTTAATATGTTATGAGTTATCATATGATCAATAAAAGGTTACATGCATTTATAAATTCTAAATAACTTTAGGCTTTAGATTTATTGAATGTAAACTGAAATTTATTTTAAATAATCTTAAATTGAGAATTCAGATTTGCTTTGATATTTTGATTATGGTTATATTTAGTTTCACAAACATAAAACATAAAATTTAAAAGAATTAATATTAATAAAATAAATAATTTTAATAATGATAAAATATCATATATCTAGCTCATTAGAACAATTATTTTGACCAAACGATGTTTATTGTAATTTATTTTTAGTTTTTAATATCTCTTAAAAATAAACACTACACAAAATTGTGATTGTATTTGAAAATAATATTATATAAGTAAAATATAAGTTCTAGATAATTTTCTGTAATTGAAAGATATTATAGTCAACTAAATATATGAAAAATAAATAAAAATTCAATAATACTAATTATAAACTATTTTATTACTCTAAAAGTATATTTTATGTTATTTAAAAATATTTTTAAATGTANTGTGATTGTATTTGAAAATAATATTATATAAGTAAAATATAAGTTCTAGATAATTTTCTGTAATTGAAAGATATTATAGTCAACTAAATATATGAAAAATAAATAAAAATTCAATAATACTAATTATAAACTATTTTATTACTCTAAAAGTATATTTTATGTTATTTAAAAATATTTTTAAATGTATTATTACTATTTTTTGAACTTTCATTTTTTTATGAAATTATATTATATATACACATTTTTATGTTATTTAAAAATATTTTGAAATGTATTATTACTATTTTGTCAACTTTCCTTTTTATGAAATCATATTATATATACATATATTTTCGTTTTAAATTTGTTTTTATGACTTTATAAAAAATGCCTTTTTATTACATATTGTTTTGGAAATTTTTGAAAAGGGAAAACTAAAAATAAAAGAATTAATAATACTATTTTCAACTATTTTTAATTCATTAAGGGTATCAATGTAATCAACCATCGTGAGAATGAATGTGTCATTCTATTATTCACTGATATTTTCAAATTGGACATTGTTTTTTGATTTGGGCTTTCGTTTTCTGTTTACATTGATTTTCTTATGCTTTGCTTCAGGCCCAGCAGATGATATACAAGTGCTTAGAGACGTTTTCTTTACACAATTTTGTGACTTGCATTCCAAGATACATGTTTGAAACTGTTCACAATAAGGAGTTTTTTTTATTACTTGATGACAAAAGTTTCTCATGTTTCTTTTAACAAATTTTTTTTATAGATCACGACTAGGATACCAAGTCATTTCAAAGATAAACTAGATATCATCAATTTTTTTTAAAAACATCTTTATATATAAAGTACAGTTCATTCCCTTCTCAGGCCGCTAGGTCATTAATTCGGGTAAGGAGAAAGCGACATCTGTCCCTCCTTTCAAACGATGTGTTTCATTAACGTGATATAACATGAGTTTCTTTTACAGATTCGTTACAGAGTTTAACCCAATGAAAATGCCCATATCTTCTTCGCGAACTGAACGCTGATTCTAGAGCTTGGTCTCATCTTCCGTCTCCGACACCAAAGTCTCTTCTTCTCCGTTCTCAGACGCAATCAATGGAGTTTAATAAGATTTATTAAACTTAATAAGATGTATTAAACTTAATAAATCATTAAGTTTATTAAGTTTGTTAAGTATTTTAAGTTTAATAACTTATTAAGTTTATAATTTATTAAGTTTGTTAAGTTTATTAAGTTTATGAAGTTTATGAAGTTTAATAATTTTATTAAGTTTAATAAATTTATTAAGTTTAATAAATTTATTAAGTTTAACAAAAAATATTAAGTTTATTAAGTTTATTAATTTTATTAAGTTTTAAAAAATATTATGTTTATTAAGTTTATTAATTTTATTAACTTTAATAATTAAAATCAATTAAGTTTATTAAGTTTCATAAATTACAGATTGACCCCGTTAACTTAGCTTAAGAACAATTAAATCCGATTGTGATGTTGCCACCATAATATCATTTACTTCGTACATGTGGCATGTATTAACATATACTTCGTGTAGTTCTTGACACATTTTTATATATTGGATGGTTTCCATCATATTAGTGTAAACTTCGTGTAGCTGGAAAACTTTTTCCCAAAAATACCATAAGATTATTATATTAGTAAATATTTTAAAATATGTTATTCAGTCTCAATATTTACATTAATAATGCAGCTACTATTATGTACGAAGCAGCTTATGTACTTAAATAAATATTATTATACTCACAATACAATATACAATGCCTTCATTCCAAGCAAACAAATATGAACACTACATTCTATATAAAATCAAACAACACCAAAAACAAAAAGGATTAAAATATAATAACTATAATACCTAAAATTAAATATTTCAATAAACAACATTATGTATCTATAAATAAAAAACAAATACGGTCTTACCACGTTAAAATAATTTCTACTGATAACCATACTTAGCCAATAACATCAGAACACAACAAATATTACATTTCATCCATGCTAAACTCTTTTTCTACTTTTTGAATTTCCCTTCCAACACATTAATTTATTCAAAAACAAGTATTTAAATTTCGTTAAACTTCACATAAAACAACATTCCATATTTTTAAAAATATAGTATCATAATTAAAAGACAACAAATACTGTAATACATCATAGAAAAATTAACATACATAAATGCCTGTAATTAAATGGCCATTAAAACAGCTGGTTACAAGAATTCTTCCAATTAAAGTTCTAAAACACAATTCCTATAAGTACACCAATGGCAGCTTATGCTGCATTTAACCAAGAACAACCAAAAGTACAAAAAATATGAATAATGTTCTCCTCCTTTCTTAGAACCTCTCACACAGTATCATCCTTTCAGGCGTGGTACCACGGCGGACGCTACACAACAATCACTTATTTCTTTCGAGGTTGCCGTTTATAATCAACAACTAAGAACACTTTAGTGACTCCACTACATAGAACATAGAGTTCATGTTAACCGACCATGAGATCCACCACTCCGACTCAACAATGATTATTTGTGACCCCAGCAGTATGTCATGAACAAACTTTCACCTAGCGAGAACAACAGTACATGTGACCTTGATATAACTATTAGGATCACTGACTACAATCCCACCACAACAGCAAGACTGGACGTCGACCATGTCATCAAAGACTTTGAAGGGATGATTAGGCTTCCAAAGGCCGAAGAAGTAAACACAACGTGTACTATATGCTTGGAGAACTACACCCGTGTAATCATGATATGCTCTCTTCTATATAGGCATATCTTCAGTTTTCCTTGCATGGATCAATGGATTTATAGAACTATAAGCTGTTCAGTATGTAGGGAAACTAATTTATGATTTGATCTTACTTACTACTTCCCAATTACTATTTGTTGTATGCTTATGAGAAGTCCAAATCTTGGATACCAAGTTCTTTAAAAGATATGTGAACTTTCAGCTCTATAAGTATGAATACAATAAAATAAACATTTCATAATATTACTAAAATAACTCAATGAACCAAAATATTATATTCATATTGCAAGACGTGATAACCATTATTACATATTTACTGTCGTCTCCGAAACTTTACAAAGAACCATTCTCAGATATTTTGAGAAAGATACTTTAACTAAAATGTTTGTTACTATCTTCGAGAGTACATGCTTACATTGAACTAGTAATCATTTCATGCAGCACTGACTCAAATACATTATAAATAAAATAAATCTAAACAACCTTTTCTTCAAATCTAAGAGCACCCGCAGTAATGAACTCTCCTTGAAGTTCAAATTTAATATTTTTTAATTTTTTCGTTACTTTTACCAACAAAAAAGAAGTAATTGAACCAATTGTGGGTCGCCACGTGGCATGGAGCCCACGAAAACAGAGATAAATCGGTTCATTAGGGTGAGTCTCCGCGAGCCAGGTTCATCGCTTTTGTAATATTTTAATTTTTTTCCGTTTTGCGTGTGAACCCCTCCCAAAGTTTATTGGTGGAGGTGCTCTAAATTAAACAAAGAGAATGACACTCCGGACGTAGCGCGGACACATCACTTGTATAAACATAAAGTTATATGTTTGGGTAGTAGAGTCTTAGGCCTTGATTGAGAGTAGTAGCAGTATATTATAAAAGTAGTATTGTTGAGAAGTTGTACGCTTTTAATAAAGTTTTCAATAAATTGATTGGTAGAACATTTAGTAATATACAGTTTTAAAATTGTGAATCTTATTTAATTATATTTAAATGTTTTTAATTTATTTTTAAAAATATAGAATTTATTTTTCGATATAAACATAACTTTTCATATTACTAAATAAAATAAATTAATTATATAAAATTATCATAAATTTTTAATTATTGGTATATATGAGTATAAGATTCATATATAAAATTATCATAAAATTTAATATATGATATATAATTTAATTAATTTTAAATAATATAGATACATTCATATTTATAATATATAGATATGTTTATATTTGTATAATATAAGTATATATTATTTTAATAAATGATATATGTAATTATATATATTATATTATATTTAAATGTGAAATAGTATTCATTTAACAAGTTAAAATATTTACTTTCAACTTTTATTTTTAAAAATATAGATTTAATTGTTGGATAGAAAAATAATGTTTACTTTATTAAATAAGAGAAATTATGTATTTTTGTTTTTTATATAATATAACTGTAAATGATTACCAAAAACTTTTGTAAAGAAAATTTAGAGAACATTAGCAAATGTTCTCCAAATGTTCTACCAAAAGCTTCATATAAGAGCAATGAACAAAGAACATTTGGAGATTATTAGCATCTTGTAAATGTTAATCTAAATACTTTTGTAATAAATCTTGATTGGATAATAAATAGCATTATGCTAAATCTAGTGTTCTGCCTAGGGATATCAAAATATGTTAAATGGGTCAATCCAACCCATAATCCAATTATGTTGACTGTTGATAAATATGTTGAGTTGATCCATGACCTATTAAATTAAATGGGTTAGATGAATTTGTAATGAACCATTTTAAGTTAAGACCAAGTTGATCAAATTGAAAAACCCAACATCAAAACATTTAAGAAACAGATAAGCAAAGTTTCATAACAAGATATTTTCTAGAACAGTTAAGAAACAGAGAAACAATGTTTCATAAGATCAAAACACTTAAAAAACAGAAAAGCAAAGTTTCATAACATGATATTTTAGTATCTCATGTGAAGATAAGAGTTGAGAAGAGAGTGACAAGACGAGATCGATTTCACAATTTTAAGGTTTTTCTTTTTTTCTTAATTAAAAATTAAATGGGTCAGAGTTGATCCAACCCAATAAACCTATTTAATGTGTTAATCCATTAATTTATTAGTTAATTTACCTGTTAATCTATTAACCTATTAACTTATTAATCCACTAGATAAGAAAATTATTTGGATTAATAAATTAATTTGGATTGGGTCAACCCATGAGTTATTTTTGACACCTCTTGTTTTATCAAATCGAACTATTCTATTAAAATAGACTCTTTTTTATCTATTAATACAGATTGTCATTTAAATTTGGACTCTTTCTAGAGTGTTACAAATAATATAAGCCATATAATTAATTGAACCGCATTACTTAAACTAAACATGTGGTTATTTATGAGATAAAGTATTGGAGTTACTTTTGTTTTTAGGACAAATTATATGGTTTGGTTTTTGGGCTTAGTATTAAGGAAAAAATTCCAAAAAAACATTGAATAAACTTTCCACCTTAATGGATCAAAAATCAGTTAGTATTTTCAGGCCCAAATGTATTTAATATTTTTAACAAAAAAAATTGTCTATTATTAATCATTTATTTAAATCATGTACTTTAAAACATCTTAATGTATTTTTTATTTTAAATAACAATCACTTTGTTTTGATAACTTTCAATGGTAACTTTTAGAATAATTTATTGTTTTATTTTTATTAAATAATTTACTGATTTTAAAAAATAAATGTAAAGCAAAAGAACCAAATCTAATAAACTAAGATCCAAAACCAAAAGCTAAAATCTACTCTATTAAAATATAGTTTTTTATCTATTAATACAATTTATCATTTATATTTGTACTCTTTCTAAAGTGTTACAAATAATACAAGCCATATAGCTAACTGAATTGCATCACTTAAATTAAATCGGTGGCTATTTATGGGATATAGTCTTGAGCTTACTTTTTTTTTAGGACAAATTATATGGTTTGTTTTTTGGACTTATTATTAAGGAAAAACTCCAAAAACATTGATTAAACTTTCCACCTTAATGGAGCAAAAAATCAATTATTAATTTCAGGTCCAAAGGTATTTAATATTCTTAACAAAATAAAATTTTCTATTATTAATCATTTATTTAAATCATGTAATTTAAAACATGTTAATTTATTTTTTTATTTAAATAACAGTCACTTTGTTTTGATAAATTTCAATGGTAACTTTTAAAATAATTTATTGTTTTATTTTTCTTAAATAATTTACTGATTTAAAAAAATAAATATAGAGCAAAACCAAAAACAAAAACCAAATCTAAAAACTAAAATCCAAAACCAAAAGCTGAAAACGCATGTTATATTTTTTTCTTTTGTTTATTTACAAAATAAACGGGAAAATTGCATAAAAAATCATGAAGTTGGCAAAAGTTTGCACTTTAAATCTTTAGACTCAATCACTAACACTTTAAACAATGAAACTTGTAACAATAACATATTAAACATCGAACTAACTTCCTTGTTGCACACGTAAAAATTGTGACATGTTACTGTTCACTAGCAGGTAAAAAATGGTGATGTAGCGGTTTATATAAAAATAATAATAAAAACAAATAAAATGAGATAAAAATAAATAAATATAATTAAAAATTGATATAAATTCAGGAAAAATAAAGAAAATAAATAAATTGCAATGAAAAAAATAAAAATAAATTTATAAATTCAAAAGTTTAAAATAAAAATAAATAGTAAAAATTGATTAAAACTAACAAAAGAGTAAAAAAAAAGAAATTAAAAAATTGTAAAAATCGATAAAAATTAGAAAAGAGGAAATTTATAAAAATTTGGAAAAAATTTGGAAAAATAAAAAAAAATAAAAATTTCAAAAAGGTCGATAAAAAATTTGAAATTTTACTAAAATCAGGAAAAATAAAAATTCAAAAATTCAAAACAATTATAATACTTAAATTGAAAACTAATAAAGATAAAAAAAAATAGATTTAATAATTCAAGAAAATAATAATAATAACAAAAATAAATTATACAAATTGATTAAAAATATGGAAAAAAAACCATAAAAGTGGAAAATTTGGAAAAAACCCATGAAATTGGCAAAAGTTTTGAATCCAAATCTCTAGGATCTGAAGGATTTGAACCCGGACATATGAACGTTTATATGTCTACCTAAACACCAAAGAGGTTTGGGTCAACTGCTTTTCATTTTAAATTTTAATTTTGATATTTGAATTTTTATTTGTTTTCCAGCTTTTTTATAACTTCCTATTTTCTATTTTTATCGATTTTTACACTTTTTTTTTTTTCTTTTTTATAAAATTTTTTACTATTTTGTTAGTTTTAATCGATTTTTACTATTTATTTTTATTTTTATTATAAACTTTTAAATTAATATATTTATTTTTATGTTTTAAAATTTCTGAATTTTATTTTTTTCTTTATTTTTCCTGAATTTATATCAAATTTTAGAATTTATATTGATTTTTTTTATCTAATTTTATGTGTTTTTATTAATTTTTTTTAGGTAAACTGCCACGTCACCGTTTTTTTACCTGTTAGTGAACAGTAACATGTCACAATTTTGACGTGTGCAACAAGTAAGTTAGTTCGATGTTTAATATGTTATTATTACAAGTTTCATTGTTTAAAGTGTTACGAGTTGAGCCTCAAGGTTTAAAGTGCAAACTTTTGCCAACTTCATTATTTTTTTATGCAATTTTCCCCAAAATAAACTATTGCAAATTTTTTTAAAAAATATTTTTGTTATCTTTTCAGTTTTAAATTGGGAAAATTGCATAAAAAATCATGAAATTGGCAAAAGTTTGCACTTTAAACCTTTAGACTCAATCACTAACACTTTAAACAATGAAACTTGTAACAATAACATATTAAACATCGAACTAACTTACTTGTTGCACACATAAAAATTGTGACCTGTTACTGTTCACTAGCAGGTAAAAAATGGTGATGTGGCGGTTTATATAAAAATAATAATAAAAACAAATAAAATGAGATAAAAATAAATAAATATAATTAAAAATTGATATAAATTCAGGAAAAATAA